TAGTTGTGGCTATTTGTGTTGTGTAAAAATTTGACTAAACTTATCGCACATTCTGCTTATTTTTTCTGTATTTTTAGGTAGCATTTTTTTTTTTCTGTCGCATAAAAGAGTGTTTTTTAACGCAACAATATTAGCTGGTTTTAGTGTAAAAAAAAATTATATGGAGCTCTGTTATCGATGACGTTTATCTCTGTATTGAAGACTTTTAATAATTGGCACTAATTATTGACAATTTAGGCTGTTTACCGTAAACACAGATTTCAAATTGGCAGAGTGATACCCAGCAGGAAATTGTTCATTTCCCTTTCTTACTTTTCTTGATCATTTCATTAAGGTCTCAGTTGTTGCTTCAGTTGTTGCTTCTAACATTTTAACAATCTTTAGCTGAAAAAGATAAAAACCAAAAATATATTGAAGCGTTAGCAATAAGGTTGTGTTAGTCTAAATTATAGTTTTCAAAAACAAAAAAAAAAAATTGGGTAAAAAGTGCGCTAAATTGTTGATGAGATTATTGAAGTGTTGAGGATGATACATGGTAAATATGATATTCAATTGTTGATGAAGAGATAGATTTCTGGCATCTGTTAGTTAATGCAGACGAACAGTTTTACTTGGTTGTTTTTGCTTCTACACTTACTGTTGTTGACTTAATAATTCATAGGCTTAGCTGACAGTTTATTGCTTGCTTATACAAACTGATACAGTACATAGATAGAACGATATGTTGTTAAACCATATGGACAAAAACGTATGTAAACATGACTGGTTACAGAAAAAAAAAAACCACTATGACCACCTGTTATATTAAATAACAAAGATAGATTACATTTTTGCTAAAAAAAAAAAAAAAATTTAGTTTACTTTACACTCAGTAAATAAATAGTAGTAAAAGAAAAAAATTCTTTTTTTAACATATCGTTCTATGTATAATATACTGTATCAGTTTGTATAAGCAAGCATAGACTTTTTGATTTAACAACTATAGCTTCTTTTTTTTTTTTGCTCTAATTTAATATTATCCGGTAATCAAATATATAAATTTAAAACCAAAAAACAACAACAACAACATCAACAACAACTCCCAAATTAGTCTCATTGTTAGAACAAAAATTTTAACCAACGTATCCATCGTTAATTGCGCAAGTATTTTCACAGAAACTGTTATAATTACAGGAAAAAAACAACGATTTGTTTTTTTTTTTTCTGTCTACAATAACGTTCACATAATTATATTTGTTGCTGTAAAAAAAAAAAAACCAATTTTTTTTTCTTGTTAAATATAGCTTTCAGCACTTCTTAACCTTTTTCATCGATCATACTGAATACAAATAGTAATTGAATCTAATGGCAAAACAGAAGAACTGCTTTTATTTTTTTTAAGTGTGAGAGCGGATGGTAAATCTGAACAATTAACAGTTCTGAACATAACTTACAGACATCTTTTCTAAAGAAATAGCAGCAGAAGAAGAAAAAAAAGAAAAGAAGGAAGATACAAAACTATATAAAAGATACCGAAAAAAAACAAAAAAGAATAGCAGATAATTGATGTGAAATTATGTTTGAATAAGTGTAAGTAGTTGAGAAAAGTTTAGAAGTCTTCTGAATTAGTCGTCTTTCTATTTACTGTTAATATATACAGTTACTGCCGGTTCCTTACTCAGCCGTACCATAGTTAACGCTTGCAATGTATTCAGTATTCAGAACTTCAGATTTCTTAGACAAAAAAACAGTCAAAAAATAATCCGATTTAAACTCTTAATTGTTATTTGTTTCTTTTTTTTCCCCTTTTTTCTTTATTTTTTTTGTAAGACTGAATATGTTATTGTTGTTAATTACTGGTCAAGAAGTTCAATAAACATATGTAACAACAGTGGTTTATAGAGGAGAGGCGAGGAAAAAAAAAACTGTTTTCCAGAGCAATTGGTAACCAATTGTTCAGTTAAAAACAATAAAAGAGATTAAAAAAAAAATTTATTTTTCAACTCAATAAAAATACTAGTTTTTTTTTTTTGTTTTTGTTTCACACATAACTATTGAAAAGGTCGATGATAATTTGATGAGCTCAAAGAAGTGGCTCTTGACCATCGTCATCGACATAACTGTTATCCAGAGTCTGCAGGCTTTCTGAATCGGTAATCAACACTTTACAGGCATTAACAGTGCCCACTCTTCTGCTTAAATCCTGTTCAAAATTCCGACTGAATGAGGCAATAAGTGTTTCAATTGTTGTTGCTGTTCCTATTTTTATATACTAAAACCAACAACAATTTAGTTATGTTCAGAATTCATCATACCAAATTGCTTGCTTGTACAGTGCAAGATAAACTGATAAAAAATTGACAAAAACAGTAAAAAAATTTACCATTTATTTTATGATAATCTATTTGCTATTAAATAATAATTTCTATTACTGTAAATTATGAATTAAAGAACTTGAAGCTGATACAGTATCCTCTTCTACAGAACACTTTTTTTCGCTGATGCTGCTGATACGATGGTATCAGCTACCTGTTCTCACATATAAGATCTAGAATTCAACCATAAATAGTCTAGAAAAAAAGAGGTTTTTTTTTTGTTTTAGATTTACAGAGCAAAAAAAAACAGGATTATTCAGTAGCCTTATAGAATGTAGATTAAGCCTTCAATACGAGGTCAACTGAACAGTATACTGTTAGATGGTGAATGTGTGTCAATTCAACACTCAGCGTTTCCTACCTGCTGATCGTTGATTTACAGAAAAATTGACAGTAATATGCGAAAAAAAAATTGTAGAATAAATAAATAAATAATAAGAGATAGTACCTGTAAAGAAAAAAGAAAGTGTTAATATTGACTCGTCCAAAAGCGACAATTTAATATTGGAACATTTCATTGTTAATTAACCCGTCAACTATGAGGACGCCAAAAAAAAAAAATCCGATTCTCAATGATGGCGGCAATTGTACGGTATCAAAGAAACGGATAAATTACGTCACGGAAACGATAGTTTCTTGTTGTCCTATCAATATTACAGACACCCAATATTATCCCCTTTTTGACTTCCTTTCCCATATCTCATCCGGTAATCATACACCTCCTCGACAGCATTAATTAAACTCCTTCACCGAGTCTGCTTTAAGATTTACCGCTTCTCAATTCTTTTGTTCCTTCCCTTTCTTTTGTTATTCGTCACCTTAAGTTAACCGGAAATAGAAAAAGAAAAAGAAACTAAATTAATAACCAAAACTAATAACCAAGATTATTACATCAATTTCTACAAACTTCGGTTATTCAAAAGTGGAACAGAAAACAAAAATGAGGCAAGGAAAAAATGACTTGAACTGTCCATATGTATCAACGTCTGTTTATCTTTTCTTTGGAATCCAACAAACCACACACATATCGGCAGACAGCAATATCCGCCACTGTTATGCCCAGCTGTCTTTTTGTCGACTTTTCTTACGTAAACTACAGATTTGCACAGAAATCCCAGTGTTATTTTGGAAATTTCATCAGATTAACAACAAAGAATAGTTATACTTACCGATAGAAAAGAAGACAAATAATCAGTTCTTTAATTGAAGTTCTGGTCTTCAAAACGAACAGTAAGTTCTTTCAACATTCTAAGGCATTTAATTGTGTCGGTAGCTACCAAAAGGTCAGATGATAAATTGAATTTGTCCACTGGAATGAATAGTGACCAAACGTTCGGATGTCGACGATCAATCTGTACGCAGCAGTTTGACCAACAGAACCAGTGTGCCTCCGCTGCTGCTGCTCATTTGCATAAATCGGTGTCTTCAAACCGATTTTTGATCATTCACCCTTTTTTTTTTTCCTAATGCTAAAATAAATGTTTCTTCGATGTCAGAAGAGTCAAAAAAAAAGGAAGGCGAATAGAGAAAGTCATTTATTATTACTGTCAATTCCAATTTAATTTATTTAGTTAAGTCGTTTTTTTGTGCTCTTCTTAATTTCCTTCTTTCAAATCTATCATTTTCACTTAATTTTTAACGGCACTTTTTTTTTCCTTAAAGAATTTTGGATACATCAAAGAAAAAAATCAAAAAATAAATAAATAAATAATATAATTTGTTGTTAAATAGAAAATATATAAACTGACAATTTTCCACTTATTTCATCTCCTTTTTTTTTTTTCATGATAAATTAACCGATTCGATGACGTTTCATTTTTTATAGTTTTATTTACATTCCTCGAGTAAATGCAAATATATATTTTCTGATCACGAAAAAAAAAAGCAATTAGAAAATAATGAATTTTGTTTTTGTTAATATGACAATTTGTACAACTTGTGTTAATGGAATTTTTTGATTCATCTGCTTACGTCAACTAAATTTCAGATATATCGTCAAAAATTTTAATTCAACTAAAAAAGCCAACTTGGATCCACAACGATTCAGATTCAACTTTTTTCTGTCAAATTTTAAAAGCAGAAACTAATTCTTCTTTTTTGCTGTCACTACTGTAGCAGAAAAAAATTAAGGACGTACATACAAAATCTTTGGATACCAAAATAGCAGAAGCCAGTACCCGAACATTTTCAGTCGATTATTTTGACTGTCTCATTTGGAAACCACATAATTTTTTTTTT